AAAAAAAAAAACAGGTGAAACAAATCTACAGTGAAAGAAACTGGAACACTGGTTGCCTGGGGTGTGGAGTACAGACAGGAAAGAGGAACACTGGAACATTCTGGGTAGGAGAAACGTGTTACATCATGATTGTTATATGGGTTACCTGCGTGTATGCATTTGTCAAAATTCATAGAACTGCACATTTCAGCTCTAGGTGCAAATTATACCTCAACTTTTAGAATGAAGCCATTGGTAGCATACAACAAAAATGAGCTTGAGACATACTTATGAGGACATACCTGAGCTTCAGCTCCAGTCCCAGATGCATCCTTCGAATACCGTAGAAATTGTGCCACATAAGTCATGATTGACTTTTCATCAGGATTAACAACGTCCACATCTGCAAGATGTGCCACAGGATCAATGAGCTATAGATGTGATTTCCTACAATTACTACCCAAGAACAGGCCATGCCATGAGATAGCCTTGGAATAAACCAAAGCAGCTAATAACCAGCCGTGCAAATCTCTGTGGTCAGTCGCCCTTGCTCCAAGGCTGTACATTGGCTAAGAGCTTAGATCCAGAGTCAGAGCTGAGTTGAACCCTGGCAGTAGTAAGTGCACAGCCTCAATTTCCACTACGCCTGTTGTAGGCAGAAGAGAGTAAGTAGAGCGGGAGAGTGGAGCAGAGAAAATACAGCTTTTCAGAGACACAGTATGGAAACTCCTCCAGGAGTGTAGAGTGCAGGAATGTACAGCAACTAGAACCCATTCCTGTCACACCAGTCTCAGGAAGTGCGCAGTAGAGCATTTCCAAAAGCATAGGTTCTATGGAAGACTTATTCAAGACATCCACAAGATTTTATTTGTTCGTTTGTGGAACAAATGTAATTACTCAGAGCCTTCTGTGGGCCGGTCTTTGTACTGCATTAACAGAGTCCGTGGTGAAAAAACATTGGAAAATGCTGAATTTAAACAAAGTAAAAATATTATAAATTCCATAAGCGCAGACCTTCTCCAGACAGAAAACAAATTAGATCACAAAATCCAAAGGGAGCACAATATGTTACAGACAAAATGAACACATAATTTTGGGCTATCTTTTGATATGTTGCCAAAACAACTATGAAGATATTGAAAAGGAAATCATTTGTGTTTATTTATTTTTAATTTTTTTAATGTTTATTTATTTTTGAGAGAGAGAGAGAGAGCAAGAGTGGGGGAGGGCAGAGAAAGAGGAAGACACAGAATCCAAAGCAGGCTCCAGGCTCTGAGCTGTCAGCACAGAGCCCAACACAGGGCTCGAACCCACAAAACGTGAGATCATGACTTGAGCTGAAGTTGGACGCTTAACCGACTGAGCCACCCAGGCGCTCCTTTTGTGATTATTAATTCAGTTAAAATAAACTCATCAAATATTTATAGAGAGTCAAGAAATGCAGGTCACAAGCAAGATATGTAAGGCTCATTCTTGTCCTTATTCATTCAACAAGTGGATGCAAGACACTTGAGTAAATGCTAGATGCCTGAGGACATTATCTGCCCCTCAAGGAGCTTACTGTTAGGAGAAAAACAAACAACAAAGAAATATAATACACTATGCATGCTTCAGCAAATGCGTTTACTAGACCCAATGACTATTCTAAGTAGGCTGACAGAGAACATGAATCTAATCTATATCCAAATTAAAAGATTCAACACAGTAAACATATAAAAGGTATCTATAAAAAGTTAGGGGTGGAGTTTCAATAAAGGAAGGATCCCTAAGAGCAGAGTTATTCTTTTACTGAAAAAAAGTGTAAGTAAAAAAAAGTAAAAGTACATCAAGAGATACATAAAATAATTATACTGGCTTAACTAGATGTTTCTTTTCAAAAACTTTATTGCATGAAAAAATTAAAAATAAATAAAAACTTTATTGTGTATGAAGTCATGCACAGTGATTAAATGTTTTAATAAAATTGTCAAAAGATAATTCGCTTATTCAAGTATGACAACAGCATTTAGTTTGCAGAAATAATGACGTATTTCACATTTTGAGCTATTGTTTAAACTATTTAAAGTGAATTATGGGCAACCATTTATACAGTGGAAATTTGGCTTTTTTATACTGTCACATTATTTGCTGAATTACTTTTACATATTTTACACTGATATTTAGAGAATCACAACATGAAAGGAGCATTAAAAAAACAAATAGTAATCAGACAAGGGGATAAAACAAAACATGAGGAAACACAAAGAAAAGAAAAAAAGATAGTGAAAAGCCAAAAAGGAAAGAGAAAAGACAAAGAATGGGAGAAAAGGAAGAAAGAAAGAAAAGGGAGGCGAGAACAAATAAGGAAGGGAGAGTTAACAAGAATTATCAACAAGCAACATAAACCAGAGCAATGACAAACCTAATACACAAAAACATGAAACCATTAGGCGAACTCTTAACTTAGAAATGCCACCTAATTCAACTGAGGTCCAAGAAGGCTAAGACCCCACATAGCTAGTGCCCAGATCTTAGCTTCTAATCCTATTCTCCAGTAAAAGAAACCGGTACTCCCTGGGGAGACGGTTGATCCCACTGGGGTAGGAAACATCCAAGATGAGCCTGGAGCATCTTGCAGCGCCAGGAAATAGGGATGTGCTCAAAAGCAAACAAGGAAACGCCACATGGAGGGCAGTATGTCAAAGGGGCAAAGGAGCTAGCTAAAATAGCTCCTAATGGCTGAATCTTTGAGTTAAAAAAATGTTTTTTAATTTGAGCAGTTAAATACACAAAACAGTATTAGGTTACAACCCAAAGTAGAAAATGAAATGTCCATAAGCCCATACTGATATAAATGGTTGGAGGGGCGCCTGGGGGGCTCAGTCGGTTAAGTGCCACCTTCGGCTCAGGTCGTGATCTCACGGCTGGTGGGTTCGAGCCCCACATCAGGTTCTGTGCTGACGGCTCAGAGCCTGGAGCCTGCTTCAGATTCTGTGTCTCCCTCTCTCTCGTTCTCTCTGCCCCTCCCCCTCCTAAGTGTCGGCTACGCATAACGACTTCCCAAAGAGTACAACACAGGAAGAGGGAAACAAAAAAAAAAATCGCTTCACGGGGAAGCAACCTGGCAAACACTACCTCAGCCAGGTGATTTTTTTTTAATTAAAAAAAATTAAATTATATACATGAACAATCAAATAAAACATATTAAAACAAATGTAATAAACACTCAAAACTCACCACTTCCCAACTATTTTACCACATTTTACTATTACCGGTGCTCTTGAGGTTACTTACCTCTGTTGCACCTGTAAGATAGAAAACTACATTAAAAAAAAAAAAGAAAGAAAAAGAAAACTACATAATGGTGCGTTAGGGTTGCACATCTTTTCCCTACTCCATGTTCAGTGACTTCACACCGGAATCGGCCGTGGTGGCAACGTTCAAACCACACACAACCACAAAAATCAGCAAATGAGGGCTTGATTTCTTGTATATTGATTACAAAGAAAGGGATGGAGAAAATGTTAATAACGC